AGATGGCTCCAAAGTAGGGACTAATGATTTGTTCTTGTCCACTATAGATACCAAATGGCAGGCTTCAATTGCACTGAAGAAGTTTTAGTATGGACATTAGGGAACACAATCCTCCGGTAGCAAGGATAGGCTAGTACCTGAATAAATGATTGCTGCAGAATCCCCAGGCTTGCTGGGTTTAAAGCAAGCCATTCAGGTATAATTAAGCCCACCTTGAGGCTGGATCTGTCATCTAGCCCACAGTAAATGACATATTTAACACCCCTTCTGATCTTACTGAGTATTAATGGCTGCAACCCCCATTGTATTCAAGAGGGTATCATTTCATATCCACTAGAGGTGGTGTAATTAACAACAGAAAGCAAAGCAATGGTGAGTGAGGCCCGGTACAATATCACACGTAGCTTGAAGTAAGCAGCATACTGTGTCAGGTCTTGCATCTACTGCCCCACATAGGTGCAAGTACCCAACTAAATTATTCCAAAGTTCTGATAGCACATTTGGAAAGACACAAGCCCTTCCTTCATTCTAACCGTGATTAAGAACAACTTCAAGACTAAGCTCTTGCACTGTAGCTTTGCTTACATGGCAACTTTTGAGGTTTCTTCATGGCCAGGATATTTTTTTAGAGGAATCTGTTCTCTCTCCCTAAACAAGTTCTGTGCATGTGCATATATGCTCGTAAAGAAGACAAATTCTCACTCTAATAGTAATCCATAATTTGTGTGCTACTTTTCCAATGAAGCCTCACAGCTTTCTTTTAGAACTACAGCTTTGTGAGTACCTGGTTTACTCTTCCTGTATTGAACACACATGAAACTATATTTCAGATTTTAAAAGGATAAGAGAATGTGTGTCATCATTAGTGAAAATATTCAATTTTGATACTTGGAAAATGCTTCTAATATAAACTTTAGGGTTTGTTTCCATGTCTCCTACGAAATGTTTAAGAAAAATCCATATGTTTCTTTTGCTTGACATTTTTGGGGAAAAAAATGTAAGAGTCTATCCTCCTTATTCACATCTAGTGTAAAGACCAAAAGTTCAAACGATTAGAATTGCAGCTTGAATACACGTGTTTGCTAACTGAATTCAAATGAAATCTTGATTGTTTCCTTCATTATGTTTGTATCTTGACTCCATGTAAACAGTACTTAGACCAGGGCATGAAATGGTGCCGATTTCATCCGGCTTTAGTGAAATTATCCTGATGCTACCAATTTAAAAGTAAAATAAGGTTTATTATTTACTGTTTTTGTACTTTGTTTCACCTTTCAGCACAATACAACAAGCAACAGAATTGTATGTTACCTCTCACAAACCCTGTTCTTAAAGACTAAAGACCTGGTGCACTCACAGTAATTGCCTTAAAGGCATTTTTATTTTATGCTTATAAAATATTACCTTGGCTTTGAAAACTTGATGCCACTATACAAGGTTATTTATTTACATTCCTTCTTAAAATTAAATCATATTTGTGTATGCAAATGCACTATGTGGGAGGGTTTAAAAACTCGCAAGTAAATCCTAGAGCACTCAGAGGTGGAAATTATTATCCATTTATCTATAATGATTAACAGTTAAAATGCACTCTCTGCTGTTCCCTGTGTCTCAGGAAGAACAGAAGCTTTTGTTTTCCTGAAATGAAAAGCCCCATCTCTTTTTACAGTAAATGCCTTAAAAAGGGACTCTCATGGCACAAAGCCAGATAAATTTAAAATACACCCATCACATACTAAAGAATGAGTTAAATCCATGAGCTTTGTTTATGAGACATTAACTCAAATATGGATTGACAATATATGAAATTATAGTTTCCTTATATATATTAACTTGCATAGGGTACTTTACACATAAGCTTTACATATCACTTTATAAAGTCTAAGTGTTGAAAAAAAAGCATGATAAGCCCTTCCGAGAGCAGGAATAGGCCTTAATAACAAGATGACACAGTATATCTTATTTTAGGAACATTATTTTTCAGATGTCCACTATTCAAAAACAAATAAACAATAATACCCCAACCCCCTCAACTGAACAATGTAACCAGATGACATTCCCTGCTCTAGCAGGGAAGAAAGAATGGGTTTGATTTCTTTTTTTCTTTTCTTTTTTTTTTTTTTTTAAAAGGAATGATTTTGCCTTTTTTTTTTTTTCATTTAGGCTTCACACTTTTCCTGAGGCCTCTGGGCTCCTGTCCAGGCCACAATACTTCACAATTGACTTTGATTTTCTGAGGTAAGTGATCTGTCGCTTTCTGAGCAGTTATAGGAGGGGTCAGGAGTGAGGTGGCATGGTATGGCCTCACTCTGGCTCCTGCCTCCCTGACATTGTACACGCTAATGCAATGTGAAGTAGCACGTCTAAATAGCCTGTCAAACTTTTTTGATGTTAGCAAACCCACAGATGGGATTCATTTCCACGCTGTTCAAAAAACGTAAACGATACAAGGACATTAAAGAGCATTAAACTACTTGATGACATTTTGGTCACATTAATGAAAAGTGGCGTTTATAAACTACTACAAAAAGATGAGGGGGGGGGGGGAAGAGGGCAGAGAGAGAATAGAAAGAGAAAGGGAAGGAGAAGTGAGGAGGGAAAAAGGAATTAAAATCAATTTTAAAAACCCCAGAAGGAGCTGAATAGTCTCTGGACACCATCAAAGAAATTAGGGCCTTAAACCCCAGAGTGAACTTTTCCCTATATGCATGCACGTGTGCCTGTGCTAACACTTGGGTGAAAAGACCCAAAATGGCCAGGGATTCCTGAGAGGGAAGCGTAACTGCATGCTTTTGGCTACGCTTACATCTGTTCACTCATTGAGGTTAGTACCTTACAGCATCCCATTGATGATACCAGTGATGAAAATGTTGTTGAATGTAAGAAAGGGTATCAAAATCCAACCTCACCAGCTTAGTCCCACTCAGCTGAAGTCTAGTTTGTCATTCAGTGACATATGTGAAGGTATTTCCCACAGCATCCAAGAGCATGAGGTCACACTACAGCCCGTAAAGCTGCAAGGGACTCTAGCACACATATCAAGAGATTGACAATGCTCAATAGGCTGAGCAATAGTAAGGCTGACAATACGAAAACATTTGGCCACGGAAAGTTCTGAGATCCAGTCCCGACACTTGCACAACCTGTTAGGCACGTTCAAATAAGGACTGGAATCTGTCTGGCTATAAGGGTTAAGAAACTGCTGGTTCATCTGCTGGAACAGCAGAGGCCTTGGAGCTGGCTGCACCCGGATGCCAGCCTTGCTGGGAAGAAGGGCAGACAGAAGACACGCTGCTCTGGCTACGCCAGTGCCACTAGCAGCCGCAGCATTATTTTTTTTTTCCAGTATTCGCGGTTACATTAATTGCTAATGACAAAGGCAACCTTCACTCTGTGTGGTTTCCTGCCCATATTTGGATCCTTTACAAGACCCCCCTTTTTCTTCCTCTCCTCCCCCTACCATCATGCCTTCCCTTTTTCTGATAGGAAATGCAACCCGAGATGTGCGAAAAAACAGTGCGCATATTGTCATTTAATTGGCCCCTTGCTCAGGCGCATCGGGCCTCAGCGCGTGTGCTGTAGGGTGTCTGCTCCACAACAGGAAAGAATAAACCCAGACTCAAATCATAGGAAATTCATCAAATATGCTTCTTAGAGTTCTGTCTTTCAAGGTCTGTTTCCCTGCCATATGATCTCTATAAACCAAATTACTGCTGGCCTGAGTACAAGACTGGAGGCGCCTGGGGCTAGCATATAATGAATGCCAAATGCATGTGACAATAGACTGATCATGGAGAAGAATTGAAAATTTTTTAAGTAGTTCTTTTACTTCATTTATAAAAACCAAACTGACTACACTTAATATCTTTAAAAGGAGCCAATCATTTCCCTGCAGTTCCAGACGTGCATAACAAACCTTTTATATCAACCCCATTAAACAGCTAGAACACAAGATACATTGGAATAATGCTGAATAAAGTATAAAAGAGAAAGTAAATGAAAAATACCTTGTTTTAGGTGGGGAGGAGTATATACATTATTGAATTAGCTCAATTTTTCCTGTTATGAGCCTTTGCACATAAAGATTCTGCCCTTCACTTGCAATGCAACAAGAGGGTAAACTTCTGCTGGAATGTATCTCCCAGAACTGAGATTCTAAAAAAGTATGAAAGCTGCTTAAAGGCTAGACTGATGTAAGATGAATGATTTTTATTAATTTGTGCAATAAACAGTCAACCAGAAATTTCTATCCCTATGTTGCCAATTACTCCAAATAACCTAACAAATGTTGCTATTGCAGCATCACAGGAAATGTGAAATCTCCAGAAGAAAAAATATTACATTCTTTACTACAGACAGAGGGTAATTAATACTGCTTTTTAGGTTTTAGAAAATACTGCACTTAGAACTGCAAGTCAACTAACAGACCGTCTATAACCTATAAATGCTTCCATATTCACAGACATCAGCAGTCTTGGAGTTACAAAAAAGTAATAATACATACATATTAATGGATTGCAGTTTGTCCTTCGGGGAATATATTTTTTAAAAGGGCTAAGGCAGCAATAATAGCTCCTCTAAAGCCTCTAAATGCTATAATTGTTTTATATGAATTACAGTGCTCGTATTAATTAATGATGAATGTTTTGTGTATGTAAGTATTTGATGGATGCAGCCAAAGAAAAAATGAAATGGTCTGTCTTTTAAGTTGACATTAAAAAAAAAATGCTGCTGTTTGAAGGTTTGGATCTGGTTAAATACAAGATTATTTTAACCACATTTCAATGAGGAACATGAAATATGGCCCATGAGGTCATGCAATTCAGCAAAACATTTTTTTCTTTCCCTTTTTTTTTTTTCTGCAGTTAAATAGAAACAAAAGCAAAATTGCCAGAATACCTCCTTAGTCATATATTATCAAAGTGCCTAAGAAAACTGCCTATAGCTATTAAGTTGTATCCATAGTGCAGTCTGTTGAAAAACTCTAAAGATGCACTGACCTGCACACTCCTAGTGCTCCTCTTGAAAACGGTAGCTGTGTTTGACATGCTAGGAACACACATGGACAATTAGGTCTCAGTCCATATTGTGGAGAGTTACTGCATGGAGTGAAAAGGAAACCTGAAACAAGGTAAAGAGAGGAGCTTTCAGGAACTGCATTGCAATTCTGGATTATCTATCTCTAAGTTCTATTAGATGAAGCCTAATTTCTATTAGATGGAGACATCTAATTTCTATGTTGTGGTATCCTTTTTCTTGGTATTGGTTGTATCTACAATCCTGTACAGAGCAGGTTCTGTTCTTCTGTCACTATAAATCAGTTGGAAATAGCTCTACTGAAATTAGTCATATTTACCCAATATGAAACCACCAGCAGTGACATGGGGACCAGTATTAGAGCATCTATTCTGTCTATGTTTGCTTTGCTGTGTGTGAGCAAAAGAAATGCTTTTTCAAGAAACAAAATTCTGTTATCACTGTTTTGAAGTCAGAAACAAGTGTAGAATTATTTTAATTTCAGTTTAAGATATTTATTCCTACCCATAGAACTTCCTTAACCTGACCATAAAAACAGGAGCTAGGCAAGATATTAGTTTGCATGGAAATATTTATCAAATACTTGTTTCTGATTTCATTACGCAGAATGCCATAATGTACATAAACACAAACGATTAGTTATTCTGGAGTATAAGAACAGCCATCACATGAAACATTCTCCATATTTCCCCCAGACATTTATAGACAAACAAGAATATCAATAGGCTACTTATAAAATAATGCAAAACAAGGCGTATAGTGACTACACAGTCATGCTTTTTAAATGAAACAAGAGAGCAAAATACTTTTGATGAAGTGTTGCACTCTCATAAAATCCCTTCCATGATTTTAAAACACCTTTGCTTCCTCTTCAGAGTTCTTTCAGGACTTTCAGTCTACACGTATTCATGACTAATTTATATCAGTTTCATCTTGTACCAATAATATTGCATTCGTAATTTCATTTACCTTCACGTCACTAACTATCCTATTTAAACAAATTTAGGAGAAGTCAGCAGAATACAACTTTTCTCTCTTGGCCACTGCTGCAATGAATCTAGAACCTCTGATTGCTCTCCATCATACCATCTGTAGGGCCACTAATCCCTAAGCAGTCACCTCAGTCAGGTGACTTTGTCTACTGTTTACTGCCAATGAGGTGCAGGACGTTTGAACTCTTCTGCATCAGCATGCTGAAACTTACAACAGCATATGGCCCTGGATCATGAATTTGCAACCTCAGAGATATTTAGAGCAGGTTCTCAAACTTTTTGGCTGTATGTGTGGCAGATTGTTGCATTTGAGATACAAAATTGCCTGAGGCATCACTGAATCCACAGAGATTTGGACAGACATTCAGTTGTATCAATAACAGTACAGTACAGCAGAAAAAGCATAGTACATTAGAAACAGCTATCATTACTTGGAATTGCCACTTCAGGCTTTGACATTCTTTTCTACTTCTATAAATTCCCTTGGCAAACTGAATATATAGTCAGCAACAGAAAAAAGAAATCTTTAACAACAAATAATCTAGATTATCTCAAATATACCTGGTCTATTTCTTCAGGAATGCACATGCATTGTATACTTTGCAAATATTCAAGTGCATTTATATACAAATATATATATATATAAATTATATATATATATATGCATTGTATGCTTTGCAAACACAATAATCAGAAGTATAGAATTTCTTATTGGGTATTATATATAAAGTAACTGTTAAAAAAGCGATGTTACGAGGAGTATAAATTCAAGACCTCAAAGGTAGAAATAAAAAAAAAAAAATGAAGGTTGCCTGCATAAACTTAATTCAGTCTCCTTACTTAAAATCTGTCAATTTTCTACAAGATCCTGCATCTAAGAATACAAAGGAATACTAGTGTAGCAGCTGTTCAAAACTTTTTCTCTTTATTGTTCAGTGTACTGTCTCTGACTTTATAAAGTAGTGTCCAAGCCCAGTTTTGAAAACAGAATTACTAAGTCCTCTGTGACTTTTGGTAATACATATTATAACATCCTGGGGTTTTACCTTAATACATATCCATGTGTTAAGGGAATATTAACAGCTCTTACAGATAGGAACGGCACATGAATTAAAGACATCTACTTTCTTTTGGTTCTAAATCTCAGGTCCAAAGTACCTGCTTCAGACTATTTAGCTCTATGGATCAATCAGTTGCAATTATATATACTTCAGCAAATGAAAGCATTGTATCTCCAGCTAGGTCATCCAAAAGAAAAGACAGACAATGAAGTAACTCCCTAAATGCATCACTTGACTGAGATACATAAAAAATTGCTATGGTAAAGGACAACGGTCCTGTCCCATAACCAAGAAAACATCCTTTTATTCTTCTTGAAGTCTTTTAGTGAATATGCTTAATACCTTGAACTGCCCACACCTGGAATACAAGGAAGGAAGTCTAACTATTAATATGCATAATAAATTCTATGAGATTGACAGAATTTACACTACTGTGTCCAAGAATGTGTCTTAGATAACAAATATTTAAGACTGGTTATTTTGTGTAAAATAATAAATTTGTAATTTATTACTGAACAGAATCAAAAATGGGCATTTCTGTGTAAGCATAGCAGCACCCTGAAACTAGACAACTGCTTCTAATAGGAAAAATTCAAAAAAACAAATTAGGTACTTAAAAACAGACCTCAGCAACTGAAGATCAGCCTCAGCCAAATGTCTTTTTAATTGGTATACAATATTGAAAGGTTTCATAGAGCTTCTCCTTGTTTAACTTGGGATTCCTTGAAATATACCCCATGACTACATTTCCAATATCTTCCAGAAGGACTTTGAAAACAGCAAAGGAGTCATGATGGAGGCGCAACGGTCTCATTTCCACTATTATTCTCTTCCTGAAAATACATGTGCAAAGCACTTTGAGGAATAAAGACTTGAAACAGTGAAGTTTTAAGGCCCAAACAGTGGCTGGGACCCAACTGTAACGTATACTTTCTTAAAACATATTAGAAAGCAACTCCAATCTGAAGAAATTTAACTGGCAAGGCAAAGAAAGCAAAGGATAGCAAGAAATCCAAAAATAGAATCAGTGAAGGAACCTGACCAAGCTGATGACCAGCAGTTCTGGGAACAGGCTCTACGTTTCCTGAACACTTGCCTGCTGCTGCTGTTGACATCTGGCAAATACTAGGTTTTGGAGAAAGATGAAGTAGCAGGTCCTTAAAAAGCGTTCATCAAAACAAAGTAGAAATAAAGTTCTCCCTGAATTCAGTCACCTTCCAGATTATTCCCCAGGATGAAGCATTATCTTCAAGTGACAATAGTTAATAAGAGATGCTTAGTTTCTTCATATGTAGAAATGATCTTTTCACAAAAAATCTCTTACAACTGTGCCCATTTTTTCAATAGAAAACAAGGAAATTTAATGCTGGTATTAAGCATGTAAAGGGCTGCAAAGTTAATTGTAGTCATAATCTCACTCCTGACAATGTTAAAAGTTTTTATCATTGCTAATACTAATCAAGATTTAACATACACATTAATGTACAGTATCTTGTTAAAATTCAGCTTTTAACAAAGTTATCAGAATATTGCAAGAATAGTTATCACACATTCAGATCGTAATGGCAACCACTGAACTACTGTATAGGCTAATTCTGAAAATCCATGAAGCACAGATGATTGAGAAAGAAAAATCAAAACCTGCCTACAGTTCAAGAAGTATGGAAATTAAAAGGTTACATGCATACAAAAATCCAAATGAGTTAACAAATACTTCAAGACAGCCAAAAAATAGTTTAGTTGAACATGTGTGCTTCTTGTTTATGCACACTTTTTGAAGAATGTTTTTCATAAAGGAAATATAGCACTGTTCAATGCTCATTCACTGTGTTTCTGGGGATATGTCTTGGCTGCGCTATAATCCAGAGTTTAGACTGCTACTGAAAGAAACAATTCTCTTCTGAGGCAGTCATGATTTAATTCTTCTATTAGGGTGGAAAAGTTCTTTTTACCCTGCCTTTTCCTCCTCTTTTTGCTGTTACTAGCTGCATCTGGTATCCTTCAACTTCTTGTTACACATATATACAATAAATACCAACAGAAGCAGGACAAGTGCATGACAACATCAACTTTCAAAGGACAAATAATGTAGAAAAGGTATTAGAAAGAAGCTCAAACCATGAATGCAAGCATCCAAAAAATGCTTTGTCAACAGATGAACAGAAATGATACCACAGATTTGGCAATTTATAATATGAGGTGCTTATGAAGAACAAAAAAAAAAAAAAACACAACACAACAACAAAAAAAGAAACCAACCAAACAAACAAAAAAAAAAAACAAGATTTCAAGATTTTACATCATACTACTGTATGTTCACTCAGTGCTTTCAAGATTCCCATACCCCACTGGAGTCCTTCCATGTTATTATAATATAAAGTTAGTTAGAATTGCTCAGGAAGAAGGAATCTATTTTCAATTTTATCCACTACTTGTAACACCAACATTTCATCCCCCTCACAACAGTTACCTTCAAAAAACACTCAGGATGAATTGCTGCTCTTACTCATCATATATTCTTCAAAGCATGTGCTAAATACTCTTGGTGAACCCATATCACCACCCTCCCACCACCTTCACCCCCCCACCCATTCCCTGTTTAACTCAATGGGAGTTTTGTTACTGAATTCAGAGAAACCAGGATTTCATTCCTTCTCATTAGAAGGTGTTCAGGCACCACAGGCTTTTGTTTGGCAAGATCTAGTTTCCATTTTACCCAAACTATCAGAGCTCCAGGAACAGGCAAGATCATTTCCTGATGAATTCTGAGACCATTTTGTGTACCTTTCAGTCAACTACAGAATCATGCTCTTTCAACTGTCAGGTATTCTTTAAATAATTTCTTCTTTAGATTTTAAGCAATAAGCTAAGACAATGGGACAAATTCCATTTCCAGTGGCCTTAACATAAATTTAAAGGTCCTGTATTTATACTAACGATATTTGTCTTTTGTCCTCTCTTTGTGACAGAAATCATTACACAGCCTGAAAATCTATGAAGTGAAATTTACTAGGCTCATCTAATTGATTAC